GGCTACTTTGATGAGTCAAAAGTTTGGAATATATTTTGGTCCATAAATTGATTCCATGATTTATTTTTCAACTAAAATTGCTTGTTTGTTCTATGCTTTCATTTCAGAATGCAATGACACAAGAAACTGAATAATTTTCTGTAAAAAATTGGAAAAAGTGTGGTGTTCTAAAACTTTTGACCGGTAGTGTATATATATATATCGTGCGCTGTTTACTCTGCTCATAGAAAAGACTGCACAAGACAAAAATCACTCGGTTTCATCTTCAAAAATCTGACATTAGAATGCCCTGGTTTACTCTTTTTAAAGTAATTTTTGGTCGCACACTGGTCTGAGCATCGCAGCCAACAGTAGTTACCGCAGCCTGCTATGTGGGGCATGCAGGGAGCATCTGTAAATTCTAGAGTCTATCAATTAGAAAAATGTTCAGCAAGTTTTTCCTGTGACAAGGTGGGAAGTGCGACCAAACAAGAAAAAAAAAAAAGTCTCGAGTCCTGTGTGGACTTCTGTGTGGCACGAGCGTTGTTTGGTAAACAGCTACGTATGCAGTGATGTATGGCGTGGCTCTAACTTGGCTCCTTTGTGATGGAAAAGCAACCGGTTCTTTGGAGGTGCCAGATCTGAACCAACTAAGCACTGGCACGGAACTGGCACCTGGTTCTTTTTGGTGGAAAAAAGGTATTTGAGTATAAATATCTACTCTGTTTCTCATAACAAGTTTCCCGTTCGAGCAAGACACCATTGATTTTGACATTTATCCTATGCTAACTGCAGTTCCTCAAATACACTAGCTATTTGATATGTACTATTCAACTCTCTGAAGCTACATTGTTGTGTGTACGTGTGTAAATATCTGTATGTGTGTGTCTGCTCATGCGTGTGTGTGCATATACTGTATACTGTAGCCCATAAAGTTGAAATAATTTTTGTTTTCAGACACATTCCTCCTTTGATTTCTGTTTATACATGTCAGTAATCACTTTTGATCAGATGTAATGATTACATACTGAGTCCCAGTTACCCAGGTGAAGCGAATTCAGACCTTGGGATCTGACCAATGAATGAGATGGTGGTTTCAATTTTGCTATGACATGTACTGTATTGTTATACTGGGGGACTTCAACACCCACGTGGGCAATGACGGTGAGACCGGGAGAGGGGTGATCGGGAGGAACGGCCTCCCTGATCTGAACCCGAGCGGTGTTCTGTTGCTGGACTTCTGTGCTAGTCACGGATTGTCCATCACAAACACCATGTTCGAGCACAAGGATGTCCACATGTGCACGTGGCACCAGGACACCCTAGGCCAGCGGTCGATGATCGACTTTGTAGTTGTATCATCAGACCTCCGGCTGCGTGTCTCAGACACTCGGGTAAAGAGAGGGGCAGAGCTGTCCACCGATCACCACCTGGTGGTGAGTTGGATTCGCTGGCAGGGTAAGAAGCTGGTCAGACCGGACAGACCTAAGCGTATCATGAAGGTCTGTTGGGAACGTCTGGTGGAACCCTCTGTCAGCAGAGTTTTCTACTCCCACCTCCAGGAGAGCTTCTCCCAGATTCCGAGGGAGGTTGCAGACATGGAGGCTGAGTGGTCCATGTTCTCCTCCTCCATTGTCGCTGCGGCTGCTTGTAGTGGTGGTCGTATGGTCTCTGGTGCCTGTCGCGGCAGCAATTCCCGAACCCGGTGGTGGCAGCCAGAAGAAAGAGATGCCGTAAAGCTGAAGAAGGAGTCCTATCGCTCATTTTTGGCCTGTGGGACTCCTGAAGCAGCTGACGGTACCGGCAGGCCAAGCGTGCGGCAGCTCGTGCGGTCGCGGAGGCAAAAATCCGGGTCTGGGAGGAGTTCGGGGAGGCCATGGAGGAGGACTATATGTCGGCCTTGAAGAAATTCTGGCAAACCGTCCGGCGCCTCAGGAGGGGAAAGCAGCTCTCCACCAGCACTGTCTTTGGTGCGGGTGGGGACCTCCTGACCTCGACTGGGGAGGTCGTCAGGCGGTGGAAGGAATACTTCAAGGGTCTCCTCAATCCCGCCGTCCCCGTTCCTCCGAAGAGGAAGCAGAGACTGTGGACTCAGAGGCGGACTCACCCATCACCCGGGCTGAAGTCACCGAGGTGGTTAGAAAGCTCCCCGGTGGCGGAGCTCCAGGGGTGGATGAGATCCGTCCTGAATACCTCAAGACTCTGGATGTTGTGGGATTGTCCTGGTCCTGGTCCTCTGTTAAGGGCTGTCCGTTCCCTTTACGACCGCAGCAGGCGCATGGTTCGCATTGCCGGTTGTAAGTCAGACCTGTTCCCAGTGTGCGTGTTGGCCTCCGCCAGGGTTGCCCTTTGTCCCCGGTTCTGTTCATTATTTTTATGGACAGAATTTCTCTGCGCAGCCAGGGGGAGGAAGGGGGAACCACAGAATTTCATCTCTGCTGTTTGCAGATGATGTTGTTCTGTTGGCTTCAGCAAATCAGAACCTCCAGCGTGCACTGGGGCAGTTTGTAGTTGAGTGTGGCGGTGAGGATCAGCACCTCCAAGTCCGAGGCCATGGTTCTTGACCGGAAAAAGGTGGCTTGTCCTCACCGGGTTGGTGGAGAGTCCTTGCCTCAAGTGGACGAGTTCAAGTATCTCAGGGTCTTGTTCAAGAGTGAGGGACGGATGGAGCGTGAGATTGACAGACGGATCGGTGCAGCGTCTGCAGTGTTGCGGTCGCTGTACCGAACCATCGTGGTGAAGAGAGAGCTGAGCAAGGCAGCAAAGCTCTCGATTTACCGGTCAATCTACGTCCCAACCCTCACCTCTGGTCATGAGATCTGGTTAATGACCGAAAGAACGAGATCGCGGGTACAAGTGGCCGAAATGAGTTTCCTCCGCAGGGTGGCCGGGCGCTCCCTTAGAGATAGGGTGAGGAGCTCGGTCACGCGGGAGGAGCTCGGAGTAGAGCCGCTGCTCCTCCACGTCAAAAGGAGCCAGCTGAGGTGGCTCGGGCATCTGTTTCCGATGCCTCCTGGACACTTCCCTGGGGAGGTGTTCCGGGCGCGTCCCACTGGGAGGAGACCTCAGGGAAGACCCAGGACACGTTGGAGAGACTATGTCTCTCAACTGGCCTGGGTCCCCCCGGAAGAGCTGGAGGAGGTGTTTGCGGATCGGGAAGTCTGGGCGGCTCTGCTAAGGCTGCTGCCTCCGCGACCCGACCCCGGATAAGAAGATGGATGGATGGATGTACTGTATGTATATTGTGATATCAATACAGTTTTGAGACAATATACACTTTATCTTATGTGTGTGTGTATATCTATCTATCTATCTATCTATCTATCTATCTATCTATCTATCTATCTATCTATCTATCTATCTATCTATCTATCTATACACACAGTTGAAACCAGAATTTACATACAAGGTGTGTCAGAAACGTTCCAGGACTGGTGTCACAAAAGATATATCTCAAACCCAGAAATATCTCAGATGATCAACCAGCATATATCTACAAAGAGATCCTGTGGCATTTGCTTCGTTCAGTGCTGGAGGAGAGGTGAGAGTTGTGGCAGGACAAGTTGTGCTTTACCATGACTGCTCTCAATCTGACGTTAAATCAGACTAAACTTTCCTGTTTTGGGTCAGTCAGGATTATCAAAATTATTTGTTTGCTAAATGCCAGAATAATGAGAGATATGTTTTTTTACATACTATTTTATTGTTTTATTCAAAGTCAGAAGATTACAAACACTACAATTACTATGCCTTCAAACTATTTTGGAAAGCCCAGATGATGTTGTCATGACTGTTGATAGGTTAATTTACAACATTTGAGTTAATTGGAGACACATGCATGGATGAATTTTAAGGCATACCTCAAACACACTGCTTCCTTTTGTGACAACATGGGAAAATCTAAAGAAATCAGCCAAGATATCAGGAACCTCCACAAGTCTGGTTCATCCTTGGGTACAATTTGCAGATGCCTGAAGGTTCCATGTTCATCTGTTCAAACCATTATACCCAAGTATAAACACCATGGGAATATCCAGCCATCATACCGCTCACGAAGGAGAGTAGTTCTGTGCCCCAGAGATGAACCTGTTTTGCTTTTGTTCTAGGGTTGATACACACATTTTGCACCAAAAGACCTTTTGACGATGCTGGCTGAGGCTGGTAACAGTGTCATTATCCACAGTGAAACGAGTCCTGTACCAACATTGACTGAAAGGCTACTCAGAGAGGAAGAAGCCGTTACTCCAAAAGCAACCTAAAAAAGTCAGACTACAGTTTGCAAATGCACACAGGGACAAAAACCTTAATCTTTGGAGACATGTCCTGTGGTCTGATGAAACTACGATTGAACTGTTTGGCCATAATGACCATCGTTACATTTAGAGGAAAAAGGGGAAAGCTTGCAAGCCTGGGGTGGCAGCATCATACTGTGGGGGTGTGTTTTTGCAGGAGGAACTGGTGCACCTCACAAAATAGATGGCATCATGAGGAAAGAACATTATGTTGAAATATTGAAGCAACATCTCAAGACATCAACTAGCTAGTGTCACAAAAAAATATTTACAAGAGAATATTTACACACAAAAAAAAACAAGTGCAAAATATATTTATAAGTGAATTAAAATATATAAATATAACTAATGTGAAGAAACGGAAATTGATATTTACACAGGAAATAGGAACAGGGTTGTATAATGGCGAAACCAACTCACTAGGGAACTCAAGTGGTAGGGAGCAGTGGCGGCTGGTTAATACAGGGCGCAGGGGCACTTTGACGTTCTTTCTTTGACTGTGCTTTCTGGCACTGTCACACGGCCTTTCCCCTCCTCTTCTACTAGATGACGGCTAGCTGCCAATGGAGAAAAGGCTGCTCGTAGAGAAGCCCGCGTGTAGAGTACATATAACTCGGTTTAACCTCAGACAAATGTGCTATCAGTGAAAAAGTTAGTCTGGAGCCCTGAATAGGGGTTTGTGTGTGTGTCTGTGTTTTGAGTTTGTACAGATCCTGTAAATATTGATGAATTGTTTTGAAATTTAGTTCTGATAAGTTTTGATAATGTTAAATTATAGTATGATTAGAATATCCTCCAAAGGTAGACAATTTGCATTCCTGGAAATAGTTGTGGCTGATGTTACTCATTTTAAATAAAAGGTAATTTGCAGACTGCGCCCCCCCACCAAAGATTTTCACCAGGCACCACTGGTAGGGAGGACAAATTACAAAAACAGGATGTCAGGGCCCCCTCCCCGGTCCCTGCATCTGCCTGACCCCCATCTTTCTCCCTCTCTCCCCTCTGCTCTCGCGCTCCTGTGCAGCTCCTTGCAGTGGCTGTCATTAATCATAATCATTTCATCAGCAGTAACTCCAGGCAGCTGCAGCGCAGCACTCTGGTTGTTACGGGACGGTTCGAAGACTCATGCACGAAGCAACATGACACGGCAGACAGGCAGTTTAAACAATAATAATTTATTGGTACACACAGGAAAATAAGTACAAAACTCAAGGAGGTTTGCAGGCAGGGCAAACTACACCTATTAGTGGTTGACTGAACAAAAGAACTAAGACACGGACCCGAGGAACCGGGAAACCAAAACTAGACTAAACAGCGGAGCAACTAGAAGAGGACACCATAAGGTGCTAACGAGGAAACTCAATAATAAACAGAAAGGGCTAGCAGACAAAAGCTATCTATAAAGTTAGCACTACGCACAGACTGGCGGACTTAATTCAGAACGAGGAGATACAGAACATAAGGACAGGCAGACTAGAAGAAGACTAACGCTACATACGGACTGGCAGACTGAGTGCAATATTAAGAATTACACGACATACAGACAGGTAGACAAAAAGATGTCTCAAGAGACGGGCAGAGCACTGATGCTAAATCAGGATGCTAATTTATGATGCTAGCAAAACCACACTGGGAGAACCAGACCTGACAGGAGTCGACCGAGTAGAGAGGGGAAGCAGGGAGGAGGGTAGGTGGTGCAGAGGGGTTGGCGTTGCCGCGGCTGCGGTGGAGAGGCAGGCGGAGACCGGGGGCGGACGCCAGAGAATTCAAGGAGAGGAAGGTGGAGCAGAGGGATTGGCGTAACCGCGGCTGCGGAGACCGGGAGTGGACGCCAGGGAATCCAGGGAAGGAAAGGTGAGCGGAGCTGGTGCTGGTGAGCTGACGGAGCTGCAGTGGTAGAGCGGCGTCGGAACTGACGAGTGGATGAGTGCGGGCAGGTGACAGGTGGAGAATCCGGTTCCTAATGGCAGGAGTGGAATGGTGATGGTGGCAGAACCGGTGAATGGTTAGACGGCGTGGCCCTGGAACATTGTCTGGCCGGAGCTGAAATACCAGCAGACCGGAGGTCGCAGCTGGAGCGGACCAATCCCCACAGACAGACACACCTGCCTGCATGCTGGAGAGCCAGAGAGAGAGCCAGAGAGAGATCCTGAGAGAGAGCAGGGCAGGGGCCGATCCTGCAGGGACATGACACTGGTCA